TTTGGAGTACAGCAAGCAAAATTATGCCTAATTTTTTTTCCAAATAAAATTTTTTATATCATTAAAAAAATAGAGAAAATTACTTGAAAAAAGTGGATTTTAATAACACATAATAAATGAAAATTCTGTGTCTCTTTGTGATATGCTTCTATCTACTGTTTAAAAAGAAAAGTTTAAAGTATATTATAAAGACATTTTTATCTATTTACGGTTGAATTTAAAGGTTTCAGAAGCGATTCAACTTGGGTGTTCCATGTAGTGGAACACTGAGCCACAAAGGGTTAATCAATCTTGGAATCTCAGGCGACTGCTGAGGGAATGGAAAAAAGCCATTATAGTTCCTACCAAAAAATCGGGGCAAGTGGATGGATCTCCCGATAATTATAGACCCATTGCTCTGACTTGTATATCCAGCAAAGTTATGGAAAAAAATGGTCCAAAAACGATTGCTTCATCATCTTGACAACCACAACCTTTTCCCAAAGGAACAATATGAATAACAGATCAGATTCTGTATCTCTGCCAGAAAATCAGAGATGCTCAAAACCTGCGTCTGACAAATCATACAGTTTCTGTTTTTCTGGATCTGTCGAAAGGTTTTGACAGCGCCTGGAAACATAAATTGATTTTTAAACTATACAAGATTTTTGGTATTAATGGAAAGGCTTTATCTTGGATCTATGATTTCTTGAGAGACGGACTGTTCAGAGTGAAGCTCAATACTACCATGTCAAATAGCTTTAAGGTGAGTTAGGGAGTACCTCAGGGTTCAGTGTTGAGCCCTATTGTTTCTCCTTGTATTTGACTGGTGCTGGAAAGGTAATAAAGGAGAGATGTGAAATAGGTATATATGCAGTTGATATTGCCCTCTGGAGCTCTGGCTCAGATGTGGATAAAATTGAGTCTAATAATAATTTTACCCTAGTAGACATGTGGAGCTTTTCCAAAGATCATAAGCTGACTTTTAATCCAACCAAATCTATTGTCAGCGTTTTTACTACTAATAAGCGGTTGTATATCAACCAAAAATTTGTTTAGCTGATATACCTCTCAAATTCGAGAAGCATCCTAAATATCTTGGTTTTACTCTAGACCCTGAATTTACTAGCAACAAGCTTGTGGAGGCATTAGTGCTGAGTAGTAGGAAATGGCTTGGTATACTGAAATATATCTCCGGACGAGATTGAGATGCTGATGGCAGGAACTTGAAGAGCTATTTATTTGGCTATTATCCGTCCCATCTTAGAATGCGGCCTTCCTATTTACTGTTGTGCGTTTACAACTAACCTCCAGAAATTGGAGAGAGTGCAGTTTAGTGCCTTTCGTGTTATGACCGGCTTACGTGCTGCCCAAATGATATTGTGTTATTTGAGGCGGACCTTCAGCCTCTGAGTCTCGGAAGGAACTCAAGGCTACTGAAGTATTACAATAAAATTTACAGCTATGGTTCCCTAAATTGTACCTCGGATTTATTGTGGCACTGGCATAATAACAAAAAACATAAGAAACACAGCCTGGTTAGTCAGTTTGAGAACAGCAATTTACTTCACCCTACGGTAGAACAATGCTTCTTGAAGCAATGCATTGACCTTTCAGTGGGTCTTGCAAGGGTCAGTTTCCATTCTGAACTACTGTCAAAGGTCACAAAGAAAAATGACATAACGTTTTGCCCTTGACAATTTGCCCTTGAAATTATAATAAGATCCCAAACGATACTATGCTTATGTATACTGATGGTAGCAAAATTGAGGATTCCCAGTGGAGTACTTATAAGAGATCCCAATGGAATTGTCAAAATAAAGAAAAGAATTCCTGACTTTAGCTCAATTTTAAAAATTGAACTTTTTACTATCGATGAGGGACTGAGCTATACATATAAATGTTTAGACCCTAAAGCTATTTGGATTATGACTGATAGTTGTAGTGCCATCCGACATTTATCAAACTGGTGTAACGGTGACAAAATTGGAACTTCAATTCTCACTAAATTAAAACAAGTCTTGTCCTCTTGTGGTGTGCACATTGAATGGATTCCCTCGCATGTGGACATTTAGGGAAATGAAGAGGCAGACATCCTGGCAACGAAGGGTGCTGAGGAGGCTCTGGCTACTTTCAATTGTATGACTTACCTTGAGCTGTACTTTTTTCGAAAGGGAAGAACGACCGTAGATAATATGCTTCTTTTAGAGACATCTATTCAAAAAGCTTTTGTCAAAAGAAGTCACCTTGTCTCAATATTCTTTGACATTGAGAAAGCTTATGATAAGGCATGGAGATACGGTATACTTCGCGATCTCCACGAGAGTGGCTTGCGCGGAAAACTACCAATTTTTATTCAGAATTTCTTGTACAATAGAAGTTTTCAAGTAAGAATTGCCTCTGTTTTGTCAGATGTTTTTGAACAGGAAGAGGGTGTGCCTCAAGGCTGTGTGCTTAGTGTAACCCTGTTTAGTTTAAAAATAAACTCTGTTTTAAAGGAACTGCCTCCCACCATTTTGGGATCTCTATATGTTGATGATCTGCAGATTAGCTGTCGAGGGGCAGACATGAGATACGTAGAGAGGCAACTGCAGATGGCTCTGAATAAGATCGAAGAATGGTCAGACAAACAGGGATTTACATTTTCGAAACAGAAAACTGTGTGCGTGCACTTTTGTAGGAAGCGTGGTCTCCATCCTGAACCTGAGTTATATCTGAATGCTACAATTATTCCAGTTGCGCCTGAAGTAAAATTTTTAGGAGTGACGTTCAATCGAAAATTGACTTTCCTTTCTCATGTTTTAAACCTGAGAAAGAAGTGTCTAAAAACACTAAATATTTTAAAAGTGTTGGCGAACACCGCCTGGGGTGCAGAGCGTTGTTCCATGCTTCGCATTTACAGAGCGCTTATCCGCTCTAGACTGGACTATGGCTCAGTTGTTTATGGATCCGCTCGGTCATCTGTTTTGTTAAAACTGGATCCTGTTCACCATCAAGGTTTGCGGATTTGTTCAGGAGCTTTCAGGACTTCTCCTATACAGAGCCTATATGTTGACTTTAACGAACCATCACTTTATCTGAGGCGTGAGCAATTGTCCCTTTTGCAATATTTTAATATTCTATCCCAACGTGAACCATCCCAATAAGCTGTGCTTACTTGATAATGAGTGTAACACATATTTGAAACACGTCCATCCTGTGTTCCTACTTTTCCTTTAAGAGTTCGCCCTGTCATTGAGGAACTCTCCCTCTCTGATATGTGCCCCCAAGCAGTACAGAATTTTAAAATCCCATCTTGGGAAAAGTGCACGAATACAGCTTCTTGATGTTTTCGAACATCACGTAAAGGCAAAGCACTAACGAGATCGTTTACAGACAACTCTTTGCTGAGCACAGGCGTACAGATATAGCAGTTATCATCCGATATATGCAGATGGATCTGAGTCAAATGATTCATGTTCGGGATGGCATTTGTAATTTGGAAGATCACATAGAGGGCAAGATGTTTGCACCATGCTTTCTCAGTCTTAACATCTGAACTAACTGCAAATATATTATGGTCTTTTGTACATCTCGAAGGCTAAGTTACAAAACAGTTCATATTATATATACAGACTCGTATAGTGCTCTTGAAGGTTTTAGAAGCTTTTCCCAACACTGATAATCCTGTGATATCTGGATGTTGCACTCAAAATTGAATATAAACTTAATGATTCGTGGATATGAAATACTGTACTGCTGGTGTTCCCGGACATGCAGGAATAAAGGGAAATGAGCTGGCAGAGTATCACAGCGAAATTCTGCTGTTGAACTGTCCAGTTCGCCTCATCCCTTTTAGCGACATCTGTCTGTGTCATCAAAGAGAAAAGGTCTTAAAAAATGGCAGCAACTTTGGGATTGTTCAGCTGTCATAACAAGTTGAGAAACTGTAAAGCCTAGAATTGAGCATTGGGATTTTGCTGGAAATCGCAAGGAGGAACGTTCTTTTGAACTCGTCTAAGAATTGGTCACACTAGAGTGACACATAACTATTCTTTGAAAGCTGAGAATGAGCCTGTGTAGTTTTAAATTGTAATGTTGGTCTATCAGTCCGTCATATTTTAATTGAGTGTATTGAGTGTACATGTTTTAATAGTCCTTCTTCAGAAGTATTTTAATAGTTGTGACTTACCTCTCGACCGTTTAATCGGAAGAGAGGTCAATTGTAATTTATTTTATTATTTAAAAGAGACTGGCTTTTATTACCTAAAGTAATTTGTTTTGAAGACTATGTCTTGAATTTTAATGTGTGCTTTTAACTTGTGTTTATATGACTTCATCCTCTGGATTTGGTACATTTATCTACTTGTTTTTATTTATTGAATTTTAATGTGTTCAATTGTAATCATCCCATCTTGTGTTTGACACGTTATAATCATCTCTGGTTTTTGAGCCATAATTACTCACTCACTCTTGAGCTGTATTCTTCCAGAAAACATACTGATAAAATGACTTGGATTGCCCCTCCGACACACTTTTGGTACTCTGTTGAATCCCCTGGTGGATTCCTCACTATGAACTGGGACAGATGCAACCAGACGGCACTCTCCCGCTTTCTTAGTGGCCATTTAAGAAGCCTTGCCTTCCAGAGAGGTAAAAAAACACACCTGATTTGTCCAAAATTTAATAATGAACAGGCTTCTCCAGCACATATCCTTGGGTTTGTCCTACGACAACCTGTTTAAGCCTCCTATGCTAGTTTATGACTTTTTAAAGGTGAATAACCTAGTAGATCTCGTCTAGCAGAAGGTGGACTGTAGGATTAGCAACAACAACAACAACAACATAGTTGAATCTCTATTTTTATTTAACACAGTGTAATAAAACAGAACTTTACAGTCTGATCTCTTTCATAATTTTAAATAGTTAAATTTAAAAGAGAAAATTTACAGTAATCAAACTGTAAATATTTTACTACATATATATATATTTTAAATAGCATGTATTTTCAATTCTTCATTTATAAAACTGACATTTCAGGATCCTATGCTTCCTCCAGAAATCCTGTACGGTACGACTGTTGTGAATCTGAATATGTCATTTGAAAAAAACAAAGATATTTCAAGTGGTAAGTTGATTTATCTTAAGAATCCATGTAAATATATTAGTTGGAGATTACTTGGTTTTCCTCTTCTCTCAAGCAATCATTTTTGCATACATTTATTAATCAATTTGACCCCAATACATTTCACTAACTCTTTCGTAATTCGATTTTTCGAATTTTTGTCTTCCCTTTTTTGCTTAATGATGGTTCAGCATCATCAAGCATTTTTTGCAGATTGTGATTCAGTTACGTTTTCTGATTGTGCTCTGTTATACGGAGTAGACCTGTATGCTTTTGTAGAAAATTTCAGAATTGTAAAGCATTTCTTTTAGGGGAAAAATTCGGGGTAATCATCATTCTCTTCATTCACAATAACAATCTGTTTGTTTTTGTATCAGATAAGGTTTTGGGAAAAGCGATAGAAAAATAAGAAATTCAGTTTTTTAAGAGAGTTTAATACCCCTTTCTCATGTCAATTTTTAATAGCAGATGGCGTGCCAAATCTGTAAGACTACCTACAGCCTGGTTACTATGGCAATGACGCTTCCTTCCTCTGTACTCGTTTGGCGGGAAAGTGAGTAAGCCATAAAACACTTAAACACATCCCCTCAGTTGAACAAAAGACCTGCTGTCATTTCTTCCGTCTGTGACTCAGACTGCAGGGTATGTTTTGAACAGGAATAGAACTTTTCCACCTTTGTGTTGAATGAGAGATATCTGTGAGATACGTGCAGCAGTCGCTATTTCTTTTTGCAAAATTTGTTCATCACGCTTTTCAATGTTGCGTAATGTTTCATAATTTGCCGTTATTTTGCGGAAGAAAAAGTTTTTTAAAAACAGATTTTTAAGCATTTCGGTAATTTCATCGCGACATAAAAATTATATATAAATGATTTTATACTTGATGATATGTGTATACATATATAGCACGCACATAATATTCCATTTACTCATCCATCCATAATATTCCATAAATTCCATGTAAATATGTGCACTTTAGCAAGAGCTTTATATATATTTTTTACTTGTATTATAAAAATCGTATAACACTCCTAACTATTATTTTTTTCCTTAAATCATTATCAAATTTTTCTAGTACACGGAGAAATGGTCTATGTATCCACATACACATAAACGTAGTAAAAGATACTATTGTTGATTGAATATCTTTTGGCAGCAATATCAAGATGCAACGAAAATTCGAAATCAATTAATAACATGCATTTTATTACAAAAACACTAGCAGGACGTATTATTTGCACAAAAAACTTAGTGTGGAAATAATTTGCGGCACATTATCTGAGATCCGCTTTGAATGAAAAATACATAAAGTGTTATAATGAACAATCAGTTTTAATATTTCACTTGATACTGAAATGCATAAAATCAAATTGCGTTTCTATGTTTCAGGTTTATAAAATACAGCTGATAATTGAAGGGGTATCAGGTTTATAAAGTACAAGCTGATAATACATGATAAGGGGAAGAAATTCCTAAATTACAAAGAGAAGAAATAATCCTAAATTACAAAATTGAATATTATAAATTTTATAAATGTAAATATGATAATTATATTATAGATATATCATACTAATAAAAATATATATATATATCGTCTACCGATATATATATATATATATATATATATATTATGTATTTATATGTATATCTACTCTTTTCCGGATGTAACTGTAATTACGTACTGTGCTGGTTTATCATCTTCCTGTAGCGATGCATTTGGATTTGCTGTGTATGAATCTGTTTCATTGAACAGGAACAAATAGGAAACAGAATATTGAAAATTGAATTTTTTTAAAGCATTAGTAATTTATATATATTAGATTGACTAAAAAGAGTATATTGCATAACGTATAAATATGCGAAGTGAATACTTTTTGGCAATCACCTTTCTAGGATGATCATTTTTAAAAATAACCAGTACTGTTGATAAAATAAACACCGGTACGATCTATCTGCCTAAGGGAAAGGATGCCTTCGTGGAAGACTTTCTAAGGGAAATTGGCTCCTAGACACGTTACACAGGGTAAAACCACGAAAGCGCAACCAGTCCCTTCGCGGGATTCGAAACTCGGACCGAAATACTGGTGTTCAGCTACTTTACCGCTTCGTGCCTCATTTCAGAGCGGATTCGCTATATATGAAACAGAGTAATGTGCTGTTACCGTATTTAGCAGCCTGCCTTTTTCCTTGACCTACCATAAAAAAAATAAAATAGCAAAATTATAACAGCGTCTCTAAAAAGATGCTTTGCTATATTCTCATTAAATCTTTATCATTCTGCGCTACTAAAAACTAAGTACGATTATTTCAAATTCAAAATTTTATAACATTACTTTACAGAAAGCGATCTCATGTCTTCTAAAAATAAAACCCAACATCTGTTTCTACTCAAGCGCTTACTTTCTAGACAAAGTAATTTCAGTGTAACGTACGTTCAGTTTTATCTAACTTTGAACGGAAAAAAAAAAAAAAAAAAAAAAAAAAAAAAAACTATGTACATAACAGGCAAAGATATTAACAGCACATAAATTTAACTCAATTATATTGGATTACCAGAGGAGAAAAAAATAATTCGATGAGATAATTCTCTGAGAATTCATAAACGCTAAATTAAGAATAAATTTTATAAAATGTTTACTAATGAATACATGTATTTGCATAGTAAGTTTCCTTTTTAAAAAAAAATTTTTCATCTTTATCACGTTTATCGGAGTGTCGTATTTAACTTCACAATTATGCTCCGAAATTTCATTGCTGTAGATTGGATTATTACCAATATATAATTCTACTAGTAACCAGAGCCAGTATTAGAGGTTTTTGCTGCTCACTACAATATCTGTGGCTCTTACTTCTGCCACGCGCCGCCAGTGGCTGAGTGGTTAAGAATATTGATTACTGGAAGTTCGACCTGGTTTCGGTTCGATCCCAGGCGAACCAGCTGGCTGCATGGTTTGTTTTCCTGTTGTGCAACATGAATACGACCCAGTTTCCTTCAGCAATTAGGCTCACCCGCGGCCGAGCGAGGTTAAATCGCTGAACACTGGTAGTTCCGACCTGGGTTCGAATCAAGGCGAACGGGCTGGCTACATGGGCGTTTTCATAATCTTCCCCGTGTGTAACGTGTATGGGGAGCTTTGGGGAGCTTTGCTATAAACTAAACTAAGCCTTCAGAAACTTCCTCCACGAAAGCATCTGCTATCTGCCACCTCGTGGCTTTGCTATATTCAAAGAGCCTAACCCAATTCTAGCACTCAGTTCCTCTCTAAATTCTAGCGGGCGAGCGCTAAAGTCGCCTATTACTGGTAGTTCAACCTCGGCACATTATCTGAGTTCAGCTTTGAATGAAAACAACATAAAGTGTTATAATGAACGATTAGTTTAAAGATTTCACTTGATACTGAAATGCATAAAATCAAATTGCGTTTCTACATATCAGATTTATAAAGTACAGCTGATAATTGTAGGAATATCAGGTTCATAAAGAACAGTTGATAAATACATGAGAAGTGGGAAGGAATTCATAAATTACAGAATTTAATGGTTGTAACGAAAATTTTAAGCACGAACGTTCTTCATAAAGTTATGAAAAAAAAAAGCAGTCAGTACCTTTAGTGCGGATAGTAATCACTACCAAAAATCTATGCTTTTCTGCCAATTTTTTGGTAGTTTTTCAAAACCTTCGGCTCGGAAACTTGGTGGCCCGAGTCCAAACACAGGTCAACCTCATTTCGGACGTCTTGTGCAGAAGTGAAGATAGGACCAGCAAGATGTAGCTGCTGAAAAAAGGTGAAAGTCCGAACGTGCGATGTCGGGGTTATATGGTGGATGTGGTGAAAGATCCCTTTCGAGTCCGTACAGAGGCCAGCCGGTGAATGCAGACACGTATGGTATTATCTTGATGGAACGTTACCTTTCTGCGCCGGAACTCAATTCGACTCTTTTCCTTGATAGCAGCGTCAACATGCACTAGCATCTCGTTGTATCCTTTACTGTCAAGGGTTTTACCTTTTTCCATATACTATTTGTGATTAATACCACGGCAATCCCACCAAATACAAAAGAATGATCTTTTTGTTAGTCAAATTACGCTTTACGATGCTGCCGACGGACTCACGGGCGCAGATCAACTAAATTTTTGGCCTATGTTGTTGATTTTTCAACACAAGTGATCCAGATCATCACCAGATCCAAAGCATGATCTTTTCGTTAGTCAAATTACGCTTTGCGACGCTGCCGACAGGCTCACCGGGCGCAGACCAGCTCCCTTTTCGACCTATATTGTTTGTGTAAACTTGTCTAACTTTGAAAGAAAAAAAAAAAAAAAAACTATGTATATAACACGCAAAGATATTACAGAACATAAATTTACTCAATTTTATTGGATTACCAAAGGAGGAAAAAATACTCAGATAACTCTCTTAGAATTCTTAAACGCTAAATTAAGAATAAATTTTATAAAATGTTTACTAATAAATACAAGTATTTTAAATAATAAATTTTTCCATCTCTACATATACCACGTTTATCGGAGTGTCGCATTTGACTTTACAATTAAGCTCCGAAATTTCCTTGCTGTAGATTGGATGATTACCAATATACTTACAATCCTACTAGTAACCAGGGCCACTATTAGGGATTTTTGCTACTCAGTACATTATCTGTGGCTCCTACCACACGCCACCAGTGGCCGAGTGGTTAAAACTACTGAATACTGGAAGTTCGAACTGGTTTGGGTTCGATGCCAGACGAATCAGCTGGTTGCATTGTTTGTTTTCACCGTGTGTAACATGAATACAAGCCAGTTCCCTTCAGCAATTAGGCCCTCCCGCGGTAGAGGAATTAAATCGCTGAACACTGGTAGTTTCGACCTGGATTCGAATCAAGGCTAACGGGCCGGCTGCATGGACGTTTTCATAATTTTCTGTATGTGTAACGTGTATGGGTTGTCAATTTCTCTAAGAAAGTTCAACATGAAGGCATCCTACTGTGCTTTGCCATAATAA